CGAACATCTCATTCACATCTCATTTCAAATCGAGATGTAAAAAAATGTAATCTGGACAGCTACATCTGGGATAAACAATCGCAGATGTAGATGTAGTAGATGTTTCCGATGTGGATAAACAAACGCTCGAGATATTAAAAATGTATCGGATGTGGATATTCAAACCCGGCAATAATCCTAATTTTTTTATGGCCTGCACATTATTTGAATTCAACAATAGAGACATTTTACGGTAAAGCCAGACATATTATTTGATTGTTAAAAACGTACACGTTTTAAAAAACAAATGCTCATCGAACGCCAGTCAGGGATATAGATTTCAAAAACTACTCGCTTCTCAACCACACACTTTCGAAAACGGTTTGTTTTTTAGGGATTGTCGAGGATAGCCGCCCTGGTTTTATGTATGCAAAAATGACGGTAACTTCTTGAAATGCAGCGACGAAACTTAAAAAAAAAAACAGTGTACTAGAATTTCGCAAAGAAAAAAATTTAAATACGGAAATTTGTTGTTGCTAAACCAATATGACGCCGAATATCATTCGAAATGTTTAAAGAAAATAACAACTTTGAACCCAAAATACCGAGATGAACTTAAACTTGAAAATATTAATTTGCAAACAACTGTACGTATTGACTTTTTATGTGATTATAAATCTATCTACTGCATTAAATGCAGATTAAATGAAACAAATAATAATTAAGTGGTTGTGGAATTGCCCGTAAGAAAATAATTGTATTTCGAAAGAAATGATTATTTATCAACGCGAACGAAATTATCGAGTAATATGCCCACATAGCACACGGACGTCTAAAGGACGTCTAAAATACGTCCTACAGGGACATAAAGGACGTCCAAGGGACGTCCTATTTTGGTACCGGGACGTCAATCGGACGTCCAATGGACGTCCTAATGTCCCGTTTCCGTCCATCTTAGGGACGTCCCTTAGGGACGTCCCTGGGACATCCCAAAAGGACGACATAGGGACCATTGAGGGACATCCTAGGGACGTAAATCAGACGTCCGAGGGACGATATTTGACCATAATCCATAAAAGGTAATAATAATAAAAATGTTAACATCAAAAGGGCTTTATTTAACAACTTTTATCCTGAAATAACTAGCTAGAGTAAAACGTTTTCAGTTTACAAAAAAAAAAACAGGAATGAATTAAATTAAACATACAGGGCTGGTAAGATGAAACCTTGGGTCCTACTTATAGCTTGTGTCGATATAAAATTTATTTTGTACCAACTTTCCGCCATTAAGGTCTTTTCTTGTCGCCAGCGGCTACCGCCAATTAACATCACTTATTCTCACCTCAACAAAAAACACTCACTTATAACCTCTTTATTTACCACCAACAAAAAAAAAATAACAAATAACACTATATTACCTTTTTTTTTTCTTTAATCTAACTCACTTATATAAGTTATTTAATTCCGAAATTTGTAACTGTTGTTGGTCATTTGAAAATAAATGATAGGTTAGATTTTCTGTCCTCATACTCTTGCAAAAACAAAATGTTGAATTTCAAGCTATCGATTTAAAGACCAACGATGTTAGTACATATAAAGTCCCATAGACGTCCCATGGACGTCCATTAACGTCCTGGACTCGGACCGAAAACTAAACGCTTTGACGAAATGGGACCAAAATAGAACGTCCAGAGGACGTCTGTCAAAGGACGTTTCAGTGTTCACGGTAATCGAAAGTCCACTGGACGTCCTATTTAGGTCCGGGACCAACCGGACCAACAAGGGACCAAATCAGGACGTCCTGTGCTATCTGGGTGACAGCGGTGTCCATTCCGATATCAATTACTCATAAAGCGATTATTCTGGAGAATTTAGTGTATATTCTTAAACTTCTCTATTTATTTACCTCTCTTGAACATTAATTACTTTCTCTGCTTTAGATATATAGGGACGTTTTAAGCATAACGAAAAATAAAAACAATAAAAAAACAACACATAAACTATATATTTATTAAAACAACAGAATAACAAATATTCAAAGAATACATGAAAGCGAGACGCTCTAGCTTTAATCGTAAACTCGCGTGTTCCAATCAGAGACAATAACAGATGTCAAATAAACGTCAGCTGCGCGCACACTCCCAAACTCCTTATCTAAAGCGCGGATTTCATACGTGATCGAATCTTGCGCGCGCACAATATCGCGGCAGCCTAAGTTATGCAAACGCTTTCGCGCGGCAGCCGGGTATTTACGTGTTGGAAATTTTGCGACTTTTCCAACGGTATTTAGTTTGACTATAAAAGCGATGAGTGTATAAAAGCAACATCGATATAGTACTTTTCAGCCCCATCAGCCACCCTTAACGCAAAGGATGATGGTCGGCAGCCGGGTATAGAAAATTATATTTAATTACTATCTATCGATTAAGTAGAAAATTTGGCAAAAAAGCGATGGGTGGAGGGTGGCACATATTTTCAATTGTTAATAATTTTTTATAACCTAAAACGCAAACGATATTGGGGCGGCTGCCGACGGATTACTATTGTACAATATATTATCCGACGTTTTCATGAAAATTTAGCCATACTAGTGATCGACCCAACATTTTGCAGTGGGCTCCTAAACTATTACAATTATTTTGATTATTAAACCCTATAGAAATTCTATTATTGCCTCTATAATTAGATTTAAAATGTTGACGACCTCTCATATAATATGCTTGCGTATTGTCATTATTAAAATTGTTTAAATTGATTTCTTCCTCTTTAGCTCCTTGGATTGCTTCATTCAGTTTTATATAATTTCGAGCTTTAACAATAGTTTACAAATTTCTATCTCGCAATCCATTTGCAAAAGTGTTGAGAGCAATTTTTTCATTTACTTCACTTAAAATCTGAAGATTATTTTCATTATCGTTGGCTTGGGTAAGCGTTAAGTCGGTTTCCCAAACGTTTTCCCAAACTGTTCGATAGTTTTTGAACCTTGTTTAGCATTATGTAGTTGTGTAGCTAATGATGCTGAAGATTTTTTAGAAATGAAAAATTTTTTAAGATCACTAACTAGATTTTGATTATTATAAATTTTATTTAGTCTAATTTTTGCATTTTGACTTAGACTTTTCTTTAGAATATAAGTTGTTAATAATTTCTTTTCTTCAGCATCAAGCATAGCGTCATACAACTAGCATCAATTAATTGATTAGTAACAGTTTTGATTTTGGGGGTGGGTTGGCTCAGTGGTTAGAGTCATGACTTTGAGATAGGAAGGTCTCAGGATCGAATCCCACCGTTGGCCGGGATTTTTTCATTTAATTTAATTATTTAAAATTAATTCTGATGCCTTGGTAGGATTCCCCACTCGACCATTCACTGTTGGGTTCTAATCAACAGTGCTGTTCCCAAAGTGGCGCTAGGAAACAGTAACAAAACCTACACAGAACACGAGGCTAATGGCCGTAGTAGTCGACGCCCCGATGACACCATATTAAAAAAAAAAAAAATTGAGCAATCTGAAAGAGAAAAGTCTGATTTTAAATTGGTTTCCCGTTCAGTTTGCTCTATGTGGTGCGAAAACTGTAACCCTTTAACTAAATTAACTGTAATTACCTCAATAAGTTTATTTGCAAGTTCTTTAATATAAGCTTTTGAGCGAAAATCTACGTCTGATTTATTAAATAATATTTTTACCTCTTTAAAACTATCTTTAAACTTACCTAACTTCTTAAACTTACGGTTAGTTACATTTATGTCACTTCTTTTTTCTTTACTGTTTTTAGTGTTTTTTAATAGATTTCTATGAAACACTTTTAGTTCTATTAGATTTGCAAATTCCTTTTGCAAACTCATTCCATTATTACGATTATTTTATTTATTCATACCTAAAAAGCTAAGAAAGAGAAAAAATCTTCTGGTATTTCCTTCTCTAAACTAATTCTTGGCTAGCTCTAATTTGTTTAGCCACATTTCTCTCTAACATTTTCTTGCATTTTTTGACAACTAGCATCAACAAAAATACAAATGCCAATACCACGAACATTGCTTCTATAATATTTTTGGGTGTGAAAAATTCTATTGTATTTATTTGTCCTCCACTGTTTCCGCTTTGAGCGATTATTACTTCTTCCTTTACCTCTTTGGAATTTGTATTTCCAGCCATCGTATCAATAATTTTTTATTCAATTTTCTTTAATATTTCCTTAATTTATTTCCATAATTATTCTTCATGTCATATATATTTCTTCATAATATTCTGGACTAGCAGGATCACCATGCAGCACATTTTTACCTCATTATTAATAATTCTCAATGTTATTCATCAGTACCGAAGTTTTCGTGGTTTGACATCCTTTTTGATTCACACCAACTGTCGTAAAAATTACACCCAAACTGATACATAAAAAATAGATTTTAGAGAGGCATCTACAACTAAGGTATTTGATTTCTACGGAAACTCGGCCAACAGTACGAAAACACAAGAATAGAGGCGACGATATTGACTGAGGAGGTCGGCTAACATTAATTTGACATGAAATACATCGATACCTGCGAAACAAAAAGATTTTGTGTCCAATCCTAGCAACAAAAGTCAGTTTATCTTCTTACTACAGACAAAGCTTGAGGAGAATGGAATACAGACTTTCCATGCCATATATGATGCTGACGTCCTTATCTTGAAGACTGCTGTAAAACAATCCAATCACAGTTCTGTGACTGTCGTTGGTGAGGATGTGGATCTCGCTATTCTTTTAATAGCTTCCACTTCTCCGAGCCAGGCCATCCTGCTGCTAAAACCCGGAAATAAAACCAAAACAATGGCACTGTCCGCTCATAAGATGGAGCAGCATAAATTTGAACACATTCTGTTACATTCATTTACCGGCTGTGACACAACATCTGAAACTTCCAGGAGAAGCAAAGTGGGTTTTCTAAAATTGTACTTAAAGTCAGAAATTATCGAGGAAGCGGCAGTGATCTTTTACAAACCCTCCTCCACTCACGGCGAGGTTGAAGAGTCTTGAAAGATGTGCTTTCTCAAATGGTATGGGGCATATAGCAAGGCAGACCAGTATCACTTCAATTTGTTCATGAGGTCAGTGGCAAATATTAAGCTTTTGACATCAGCTCCCTCCCACCAACTGAGAGCGCATCTGAACAACATTTCCTGTGCACCTACCAACAATTGCAGGAATGAGCTTCCTCCTCAAGAGTGGAGATGGAAACATGTAGGAGACACCCGGGTGCCAATTATAACAGAAGATTTATCAGCACCGGTGATCCTACTAAAAACGATATTTTGCCGCTACACCATGTATTGTGGTAGTGGCAAATGTGGATGCCATAAAGCAATGCTGAACTGTTCTGCAGCGTGCCTCTACCGCCAAGGAAAATGCCTTAATGACGTGCCTGTTGACGAGGACGACGATGAAGAGGACGTTAAGCCCCTTCAGCAAGAACCACCCACCACTGAATGTGAAGATGCCATGGATGAATAATGTTTGCCAGGATATCTACGGGCAAAGAAGATGAAAACGTGAATCCAGAGAGCAGGTAGAGAGTTTAAAATTTAGAAATTATTGAAATCGACTATAGTTACTCACCTTATATGTAATTTTCTTGTACCATCTTTAAAATACAATTTTCCATTTTTCAAGTAACATCTACTGCATGAAATAACCCACTTTCAAGTGTGACAATACATATTATTAGACGATACATAGCTGTAACAAACGGCCGAGAAATAATAAAAGAAGCTTTTTCTGAAAATGACGAATTTTACGAAAAATCTTAAAATTAGTGTAATCGTTGGCCAGTTGTAGGTAAATTAGCACATTTATATGCGCATATTCTCTTGAAGAGAATTCAGTGCTCTACAATTTTCTACAAAGGAATTCTTTAGACGAAATGAAGGAATGTTTGATGAAAAATATGAGCTGAAAATCTTTATTTCGAAAATGTTTACTTTTCCCGAGCGTCCAGCTCGAAAACGGTTGAGAATTCTGTGGGAACTTTTAATTGTGTAGATAAATTATTTGTAAAATTATTTATTGTAGATAAAAATGGATGACATTTCATCTATAGCACGATACACATATTAATCGTATGCTGACTTTCGATTCAAAATTCGTCCAAACCGCGTATGACGTAATGCGGGACGAACTTTCAAGTTATTTTGACACTTATCGATTGAATAGTGTAAAACAAGTATTAGAAATTAAAAATTTAAAAAAACCGACTTCAAAAACGTACAGATGCCATCACCACATCTTAACCAAATTTATATGGGACCGCCCCTGAGGTACCCCCTTACTAACAAAAAAAGAATCATATAAATCGCACAAGGTGGTAAAGCATTATCGCTAAACATACATAAAAAATGAAGAGTTTGAGGATTTTCTCATAGACGCAATTATTAGATTTTCACCAAATTTATATGTGACTACCCCTGGAACACCCTCTTTCTAACAAAAAAAGAATCATTGAAATCGGTCACCATGTTAAAGAATTATCGCTGAACATACATAAAAAAAATATTGCGACGAATTGAGAACCTCCTCCTTTTTTGAAGTCGGTTAATAATTTAATAATTTATTTATTTTTGTGTTAGTAGTGAGTATATTTTCCTATATATAACAGGGAAGAACTAAATTAATGTTTAAAATGCCGGGCTGCGCGGTGGAGATATTTCCGAATGCCACAAACTATGGGTAAATTCTTATCGAAGAAAGAACAAACTTAATTGAAGTTGTTCTATCCACTTTGAGGAAAGTAGTTGCGAGATTCCTCTAGAAGATAGACGCAAGAAAAGGAAACTGAATTCCACCAGGTGCACGGGCCTCATTAAGCAAAGAAAATAAATCGGTATTTAAAAATTTTATCAGATAAAACAGTAGTTTCTTGTCTCAATACAACGGTCTTTTGAAGTAATGCGATGCATGAGCAGGACACGAACATATATAAGAATAAGATAAATGAACAAGAAAATTGGTTTTGGGTATTTTCAAAGTAAACTGGACAAAAATGTTTAAATTTACCAAATAAAAAATAATGTTTTTGTGTACTTACTTCTTATAAATAAATATTTTTGTTTCTGCACACTTATTTTTATTTCACATAATAAAAAAGATATTGCAAGAAAACTACCACGCCCAGAAAGCACAAATTTGTAACAAACTTGTTTTTTTAGTCTATATCTTTTACTTATATTATGGCCAAGTTATGGATTTTGTCACAAAATACCTATAATTTATGAGAAAAATGAGTATTTTTATTAGTATTATTTACCTTAAACCATCATATTTGTAAAGGAATTTATTACAAAATAACCAATAAAGCTTAAGTTACTACATAAAATCTAAAATTGGCAAAATATCGAATTTTAAACACTATCTCCCATTTAATACTTATAATTTTATGTCCCACGTGACGTCACCGTCAGTCAGCTGAATGCGCAGGAACATACCGTTAGTCTGTGTATCGTGATGTATAGTAAATAAAAAAGTCATAAAGGTAATCAATAAATAGATCCGTGGTAACGGATGCTGCCATGGAAGTGAGTTTAACTTTCATCAAGGCTGCCACATAATAAAGGTGACCGAAAGTTCTAAGATACGAATGTATTCGCGATTCAAATTAATTTTCGCGCGTCTGTCATTTGTCACATATAAGTAGGATGTTTGTTTATTTACATGTGTTTGTTTTGGGTGGATTTTGTGTTTGTGATTTTTTTAACTGTTTTTAGATAATATTCTCATTGTAATAGTGTTTTTGAGTTTCACTAAGTATTAATTTAAGTTTAAGTCTCGTCATAAATATAATATTTATCATGTGGATGACTTAATTTGTTGGAAATATTCACCTATTGGTTGCTACAAGAACATCTAGAAATATGTATTTACTAAACGCAAGGCATGTTTTATTATGTGGTTTAAAGGACATTCCAGGTACCAAACGTTTATTTTTGATGAACTAAAAATCTTACTTATATTATGAAGTGAATTATGTAGTACTTTGTATACATGTAAATAGTAATAAAACCGTCACAAATCAGATTACAGTTTGATTCTAAACAAAATTTTGCAAAATTTCAATATTGCACTTGGAAAATAATGAATACTTCAGTTTTGATTTTGATATTAACACCATATAGATTGCAATTTGCTGGGGGCTTTTGCGCAGATTTCATTTTTAATATAAGCACTATCACATACTATAAGAAATAAACAAATTTAAAGCAATAAAGTAAGAAAAAATTCGAATTGTAATTGATACAAATTAAAATGTAAACAATGAACACGAACGCCAATGTTGCCAAATGATGAACTGATTTTAAAACAAAATTAATAAATAAACTGAAATTTAAAAAAAATCAATATAATAAATCGGTTTTATAAATAAATATAGAGTATGATTACATATTACTATACACAAATTTTGATTCTCAAATAAAAGGTCTTATCCACTTCTTCAAGAGCTAAAATCCGACGACGTAGCGAAATTTTGTTACTTCTGGCAACACTGAACGATATCCTACTTATACGGACCTTCTACAAATTTCCTCCAGAGGGCATCTCAATTAGCTTGAATCGCGAATATACCGCAAAAGTTGTAGATACTTTTATCAGCTTTCACTTGGTGCAACAAATTATTGCCAACGATCGAAGCACCGTTTTTGAGATTTAAGCAAAAAAATCATAACTGCCCCCCTTCCTCCATCTCACCTCCTAGACGTCAGTACTTTTAGTTTGTTCACTTCCTAAGCACCCTAAACAAGTTTTTGAAGAAATTGTTTAGGTTCCTGCTCCTTTATTGAGGGGCTAACATCCTTTCAAAAATTACCATCTGTTGTGCATCTTAAATACAGCTATTGCAATTATTATTTTTAAACGAGCCATATCCAAACTTACATTTTAAATGAGCCTTTTTATTGAGATCAATTAAACCGCATACTTAAATAATATTTAGAAGTATTTTTGTTAAAATTAAAACAAAATTAAATTTTAAACTTATCGAAAGGGTCAAATTTATTTAAAAATAGTATATTACATTACGAGTGTGGAAAGTGAAATTTTTCATACGAGTGGGAAATATTGTCACACGAGTGTGAAAAATCACTTTTCACACAAGTGATGTACAATATTTTTCCTACGACCACAAAATAATTTCATCACAAAATGTAAAACCAGGTTATTAATATAATAATTAAAATTCATCACATCGATTTTTACTATTAATATGGACAATTTAGTCTATGGTATTATAGGCTGGGGAGGAATACACGACAACTTGTGTATATTTTAGTCCCAGAAGAGATACGAAATATACCATCTTATAATGTATTCAAAAAACATCTAAGAAATTGGATTCTTCAAGAAGACCGAGAAGAATTTAGTAATGTTATAAATAATTACCTATCGTAAACTATTATATTCATTATCCATAATAACTGCACTGATTTTCCGATTAATTTCTTTAATTTCCTAAAATTTGTAATTTACTCACCCAACAATAGGACTTGTTCTTCTGATTACGACCTATTACGACCTATTTCTCGATTATGTCCTCTATCTCGATTATATCCTCTATCTTGATTATGTCCTCTATCTCGATTATGTCCTCTATCTCGATTATATCCTCCATCTCGATTACGACCTTTCTCTTGAGTGTAACTAATTCCCGATTATGACCCTTTTCCCAATTATGACCATTACATTATATAAATAATTTAATTTTATTATTAACAAGTTTCTTAACATTTTGTCTAAGATACAAAGAAACTGATCCATTGGGCTTATTCATTATTTATTAGGTCCTATCATAGAATTAATTTTTGAATAAATTTATTAGGAATACCTACCACGTACAAGCTGTCCATAACAGCTTCTGTGTAGTTCATGTTTATTTGCTTATCTTTAAATGACATTTTTTTATACATTGTATTTGTTTTATGTGAATAAACAACAACAACAACATTACATAAATCAAAATAGAAATGATGCGTTTGACATTATGTGACAGCTGATGCGGAAATGTAAAACGAGGTTTATATTATAATAATTAAAATGAATTTAAAAAAACAATCAATAATAATCGTATTTATTCAATTTCATATTTTCTAAACAAAGAAAACTAAAATAATAAAAAAATAAAAAAAACCAAAAAACAAATTCTACCCTCGCAAGGATTAAAACGCGGTCGCTGGCCAGGTCTCAAATGGCAAAGTTGATGAAGTTTGATGCTCTACCACCTGAGCTAATAGACCTTGCGTCAATTGAATGATCTAATCGGTTATATGTTTAACCAGAATAAAAAGCAAACATAACTTAGTTATTTTAGAATTATTTTAATAATAATTGTTAAAGATAAATATCTAGGTTCTAATTTACAACAATTTCAATAATTTAACAATCATATCGATTTTAGTATTAATATGGACATTACATAGATCGAAATAGAAATGATACGTTTGACATTTTGTGACAGCTGATGCGGAAAG